CTACATATGCTTGCCCACCTTCTGTGTTATTCATTTTTTTCGCAATCAAAATTTAGAAAGGGAAGGACATGTATAACAATTGACTTCAATTTGTTCATCCAGAATAAGTTTTGAGAGGCACGGTGAATAACAATGCCTCACAAGGTTGGGGATTTGAGTCCCACTTGCACTTGAGTTTACCTGTACTCCCTGTGTCACGTGGAGTTCCTCCTGCAGTCCAGAGACATAGGGTAACTGCCATTTCTAAATTGCCCAAAGTATATAATTGTGTGTGTGTAGTGTGGACTGGCATTCCATGCAGGGTTTAACCTCAGTTTGACCCCCATGCGGCCTGAGATAGGCTCCCTGCCCCCTATGACCCTGACCAGGACAATCGGTTGCAAGTTGAATGGAAATGCACCTGATTTGGATCTACTTTAAGGAGTAATATACTCATACCGTGTATAGTACTGCACCGCCATCTATTGGTAGAAATGGAAAATACAAAAGCACAATAGTGCATTTCCAGAAAGAAAGGAATTGCTTTAAATGGTTGGAGTCTGAATGAAAATGAGTTTGCTCAAAACACAATGGAAAACCACTGACTGATTTAAGATAATATACCTATGAAGAACCATGTTGTAGAAGTTTCTGCAAGTCAATGGATAAATTAAGCTTATCTATTGAATTGGAAAATGCGCTTCGTTCTCATATTCATGACTGTGTAATGTCACTGCCAAAAGATTGCAGGGAGTACCCTAGCACTGTCCCTGAATATCCATCCATCTTCCCAAACTGCTTATCCAGCACAGAGTCGCAATGTGAGCCTGGATGCTGGATCGTATCCCAGCTAACAAGGCGCGGAGTTCTGCTCTACCACTGGGCGCGCGGTTACACGCGCTCGCTGAAACGCACGCGGCGGTTAATCTAAGGAACCAGTTCAACACACGGTCGAATCTACGACCTTGAACATGTAAATCCACAGTGCTATCCACCATTAACTCAGTTTCCTTTTAACCCATCATATATTGTATTCAATACATTATCATTATGCAAAAGAACTATTTTGAAAATATTTGAAAATAGGTTTAAAGCAGCAACGGGGGGACTTTTATTTAGCTTCTTTGTTATGCGGCAAGCTTTTCCTGTGTAAAAACATAAAAAAAAACCTAACCTGGATTTAAAAAAGCAAAATGTCAATCTTTAATATGTACGTGTTATCAAGTTGTGTTTAGTAAAATTAAAGCGCTGCGCTCTGTTCTGTAGCTTAGGCCTAGTTAATTATGAAAATTTGGGGGGATGGGACAGAAAAGAATCGAATGAGCTCTACAAAGATTCATAAGCGTATCGGTAATTAGTTTTACTAGGTATCAGTCACAATTTTCATTTACTGGCAGTGTAGACAGAGATAACGCGTTTAAACCCCCGTAATCGTGCTAAATGTTCTCAATTTTGGTTTATTCGCATGCATTATTAGGCATGCCTCCTTAAACTAGGAAAGGCTGAACGTGCAAATTCTTATTACGCATTCTACTTGAAATTGTTTTTGTTGAAGACAACCCTAGTCTAATGTGCATGCCATACAATTAAAATATTTAAAGTCTTAATACGTTTTTAGCTGATGTAATGCCAGTATGCGTATAATGACATTTTTGCGAGAGGAACTTAGCAGGGTTCTGACCCCGTTTTTGTAAATATTAATACAAAATGCCAGTCGCGTTAGCGCCAACGGGGGTTATAACGCCAGCGTGTGTGCGGATCAGAAATCAAGCGCACGTCCAGGAATCAGTGTACGTGGCATTCGGCCTTTGTTCGGTTGATTAAAGTACCGTTTTATGAGTGTAGTAAGCGTGATTTGAAATTTTTACAGCTTTTCATACATTAAAAAAGTCCTTTTATGATTTACTACTGGCTACATTGAAGCGGTGGCGATAAAGCTAATGCTATTATAAGCTACTATTGCAGTCTCCGGTGACTGAATCTCTGCCAGTCTTATCTTATTAGTCCTCTCAAATCCCTGTAAATAATACCACAGCGGGCCCCAGTTATGTTCAAAATCTAAAGCACTTTGTTTTTCTGACAAAAAAATAAATAAATAAAAGAACACTGTTTTTTTGCAAATGTAGTCTAGATGATGTGTCATTGGTACGTCCTGAGGTGGCACAAACAGCGGTATAATAGCAATTATGTGCGGATAAAAAAAACAATAAATTGTTTTCAGCTTTAATAATATCATCTATTGTGCTTCCTTATGTGTTTCCTTTAAATAACTCAGTGTGACCCAGCCATGAGATTGGTTGCTATGGAGAGAAATGCCAAAGAAACCTGAATTACATGATGATTGTGCACAATATCTTAATGAGAGAGCTGTTGGAGCAGTTCAGAAAAGGTCATTTTAATCCTAGCTAGGAACTTAGCAATAAAAGCCTATGTTGAATCAATTTCCCCTTTGCCCCTGTGTAGGAACACAAAGGGGAACACATTCACTCCTCTGCAGAAAGCATCTGTGAAGGTTCTCTGTCAAAACCAGAAGTAAAAGCTTAAAAACGGTCTGTTTTTAGCCAATAGAAATAGTAAAACCTCCTCCTGCAGGAATTGTATGGGAAAAAATGTGTTAAACTGAACACTGCTAGGATAATGGCTCAGGTTTGAGGAAAGGCAGCCGATGAATCTACCTTTAAGCCAGTACACAGCAAGCCAATGACAAAAAACTAGCACCAACCTAGTCAACAAACGGCACCCTCCAATCAGCTGCCGTTGGCTCCCATCAGTCGTGAATATTTGCGCTGGGTCACACGGGTGACGGTTGACATTCAGTGCGACTGCAATGTCTGCCCTCTATGTATCTACTGGCAGATTACCGTACACAAGCTAGAATGTATACTCTGTTTACAGGGTGGAGACTTCTTAACATTCATTAACCAGTAAATAATGCAAAGGTACTGTAGCAGGATGGGAGAAATTTCAGAACTACCTCTAAGCTGGGAACTTACTCCATCCCATTTAGCTAGAATTTTAGTTTTATGATTTTTGTGTTGAACTAACCTAAATAATCAACCACAGGCAGTGGTGCTTTCAGTTATAAGGACGTACACTACAGAATAGCATGCTCATGATTTAAAAGATGCCTGTTCAGTATCACCACAGATTTATTTATAGTGGCTCATAGTGACAGTTATTTAGCAGAATCTTTTGCCCAAAGTGACATGCAAGTGACTCCCACAGAGCAGGGTCAGCCAGTCGCTGGAGCAATTGGTGTTCAGGGTCTTGCTCAAGGGTCTAACTGTGATGTGATTATTCTGTTAACTCGCACCCTCTCACACTTAGGCACAGATGTTTACCCTGTTGAACTACACACCGCCCAAAAGAGTTGCCCCACAGAGTTTGGCTGTTAAACCATGACTTGAAGTATCATATTTTAGGTTAGTCTGTCTGTTTTGTATCAGTAGTACTCATGCAGCACCTCCTGGTCTTCTCAGATACCAACTTCTCTGGGATTATTATTATAGCTCCACCATAATAAGGCAGTATGGTTCAGACGACCAAGAGGCCCTAGTCCCTATAAGACCCCCCCCCCAAAAAAAATAAAAATAAAAAATCTAAACTCCCTGCCACTGTCTGCCTTTAATCAATAAAATTCAAAATAATGCATGTATTATGCAGTAACCAAATTTACTTGTTGATTAGCCGAATCTTGCAGTAACTGCACTGGAAATTACTGTAAGTAAAAATAAAAATCAGTAAGAGTTGATGGGGTAAGTTATGTAAATCATAACACAGAGCTTAGTCTTCCACATGTTTTTTTTTCCAGTATTCACTTAGGCAGACTGGTGATTAAAAATAAACTTCTATTGGATTGTAAGACCCATATAGAATCAAATCTGGCAAAATGTGAAAGACGGCCTAAGACTGTAATATTAATATTAACTGCCTTACCTGAATATTCCTATAAACCTAAATTATATATATATATAGACACAGCGTACATACTTGTAAAACTTTACCTAAATATATATACAATGAATCAAACATTTTAAAATATGTTATATGCAGAACAAAATGAAGCGGGACGTTATTTAGGAATTCTAAAATAACTTCAGACATCTGAAAAAAGATCTCTTGTCTGTTTCAAGATACATTTGAAATATTATATATACCTCAGTTATTTCCAGATCATTTTAAATATTCACGACCTTGAAATTATTCATAGATTCCTATAATTTATTAATTTACAGGTATTTAATTTTAAAAGGAGCACAGTAAGATGTTGTGACAGGTGGGTATTATCGGTGTACTTTAAAATCCGACAAAAAAGCGGCTGTTTAATTGATTTATTATCCGGAGCTGAACATCCAGTTCAGGGCTACCCAGCAGCGAATTCCTAAATATCATACTTATATCTATGGATAATAAATACAGTGAGCGGCACAGCGGGGCTAACGGTAAGAAGCGCCACAAAGTCAGGAAGCAATTCGGACACAGCCACTGTAACATTAAAATAGAATCAAACCAACCCAGAGATTAGGTCTGCTTTACGACACCAAAGCAGTGAAGTCCCGCTTTGTGGAACACTGCCCAATTAAGCTAAAGTTATACCAATCAGCACGGGGTTTCCGGTCCCTAACATAAAGATATCTTAAACTAATTTAAATATAGCTTGATTTTTTTACAGACATCATTAAAGGGTTTTTTAAATGATAAGAAATAGACATAACACCAAATATTTAAAGAGATATCTACCATTATAACACATATTATAACACAAACATCACTGCAAACATTAAATCCCACTGAAACTGATAACTTGACCCGTGCCGAAATTAATATTGTAAACAGGTAATGGCAATATCACTTTCTCTGCTCCTCTTCAATTCATTCAAGAGAATCACAACACGCCCACCGTCGACGCCGCTTCTTACAATTGTTCATGGTACTTGTAGTTTGATTGGGTTTCCGGTTTCGTTGCCCTGTGTATAATAGTTGTTCCAGAAGAACTTCAGTTTCCATAATGCTTAAGAAGGCATGGTGTGGAAGACGTCTTCCTCCCGGTGAAGATGGCGGCTCCCTTAACTCTCGTTTTGATTATAGCTGTGACTATTAGGGCTATACTCTTTAGATCAAGTCTAGCGGAGCTTTTAATCGAGAGAGTGGAAGTAGTATCTCCATTAAATGCATGGAAACGAGGTTAGTCAGACGTTTCTACTTTTTAATTTCTTTTTTCGATGGGCATGTGCACCTGACTTGCAACCCGTGCTGTCTGAATTAAACTAGTATATAGATATTTTCATCACTTTTTGTTAACTGGTTCACTTTTTTGATAATTTATGATTAGAATTTTGGTAGATCACTTGCATAGCTTCATTTTTTACAGCACATAAAATATTGTACATCGACAGGTTAGCTAGCATATTTTAGCCGTGGCTAATGAGGAAGTTAAAACCATGTCAGCTACTTTATGTAAGATTTTTCTATCATAAAATGCATTTTGAAGGTCTGCTTAAGCAGTTTATCAGTCGTTGATGGTAATATTTAAAAGACCATATTATTTTCCTTCATAAGTTGGGGATGGAAACACTTAAATAATTAGTGATAGCATGAATGGTTTATACATCGTTAATGTTAGCTGTCAGAATGTGGAGAGCGTCGTGAACAAATGGTTTGTTGGTGCTTTAGCATGTTGAAGTCAAGTGATAATTAAGCCTAGCGTGGGTACTGTGTTAGCAACATGTACTGACAGGTGCATTCTGTCATTTTTGCCTTCAGTTGTGGAGGGCCTGGCTCTGCTCGACCTGGGAGTGTCCCCGTATTCTGGAGACGTCTTCCATGAAGTGAGCTCCCCTTTCTTGCATGTAACCGTTAAAATACCGCTGGTGCATAATTTGTTTCTGAGTACTTAAAAAAATAACTTGTTTTATTAAATGGTCCTTATAAATGACACTACTGATATAATGGTATTTTCTCCCTCTTCACTTTAGACTCCTCTTATTATATACCTTTTTCACTTTGTCATCGATTATGCGGATATTGTGTTTATGGTGAGTTAATGACTCCTGATATTTTATAACCTTGTCATTATGTCACAAATGTCAGACATGCATGGCTTTTTTCCCTTCCTCTGTGCTTGGTGTGAAGAATCATCAAGTCTGTCAGGGTGCTAAAGGTATTCTGTGTGTCACTCTGTAGGTAGCAGATGGAATCACAGCTGTGGCGCTTTACCTGGCCGTACAGGACTACAACAAAAATGTGGTGAGTGTGTAAGCATGTGCATATGGACCTGAACACCCCCCTCCCCCACCACACACACACACACACACACACCACTAAGTATTCCTGAGTTGGATAAGGTTAATACTGAAACTTTTCCCCTACATGCACAAGTCAAAACTTCATTCTTCATTCTGCCTGAACGATGCATTTTACTGTGTTTATTAAGAATGAAAAATCTTAAAGGCAAAAAAAACAACTTTAAGCACATTGTGTGAAGGTTGCTGATTCAGGTCCTAGGAGGGACTCCACAGTGTAAATGCCTTTTATTCTCTCAGGAAAAATATTGATTTTATATTTCATTTTTGACATAGTTCAGGAAGCAGAAATACGCTCTCGAAGGTGACCGCTATCCTGCCGACTGCCTGGAGCTTATTAGGAGCCCGAAAGAAATGTACTACATTCCGCTGAAGGTGGCGCTGTTGTGAGTAGCTCTCATGCCTGCCTTTTGCACATATAGAGTGTTTTTGGAACTCAGCATGCTCATATGTCTATATCCAAAATGTTAACTTAGCTCAGGCAGATGAATAATAATTCCAAGAAGGCTGTTCTGTAATATTTTGATGCTACTTTATGCATCTGTGAGTAAAACTGCCTTGAAATTCCTTGTTAGTCATTTTTCAGAAGATAGTGGCATGACTTTTTAGGTAGTGTTTTGGCCTTGCGCTGTGATTGGGTGCTTTTGTCACATGTCTTCCTTTTGGTCTTTTAGCTACCTGCTGAACCCTTTCACAATATTCTCATGTGTGGCCAAGTCGACCTGTGGGCTCAACAACGCCATCGTTGCGCTCTTTATCCTAAGCACGATAAAAGGTACAAAGTCGTTGCCGTGTTGAGATGAGGTGGCAGGGGCCAAACTCTGGGGTCAAACCCTGGTGTTGCCTCTTCCTCATATTTCCCATCCTTTTGAAGGAAGCGCCTTGCTGAGTGCCATTTTCCTGGCTGTGGCCACATACCAGTCCATCTACCCCCTGACTCTCTTTGTCCCGGCACTGCTCTACCAGCTGCAGGTTAGTCCCCTCAGCTCCCCTTCTTTCCTCAGATAGGGTGGGGGTTGCCAGTCCTGCCAGAACAGGTGACACAGGCGGCTGGCGGACTTTGTGATGGAAATGTTTGTAGCAAACTTCCTACTGGGATCTTTTTTGTGCCTTTGTGGCAGGCATTTGCTCTAAAGCAACTCCATGTGTTATAATAGGGGGTGTAAACTACCGCATTTGCTTCAGGGTTGGTTGAAGGTAGCCATGGCAGAAATGAGGCATTGAAAATGGTGGTCTGTAGCTCAACAGGTTAGTGATGCGTTTCAAAGTCCAGAAGGTCATGGGTTTCAATCTTGTGGCTGGTAAAGTAATTATATCATAATTGGAGCCTTGAACAAGACCCCATGGATGCTGGACACTGCCTGACCTTGAGCTCTGACTCCAGATCTCATCTCTTTGTACATGTGTGTCTGTCTCTCTCATGGAGAGTCTGATTTGTCAAAGCTATTCAATGAATGAAGTACCTTTGAAAAGTGGGTGGGATTATTGTTCATGTCCACTCTCCTCTGGATTAAACAGGTTGTGATCTACAGTGCAGCCCTTCCCGCCGCCTGTGTCAAAGCCTTATTTCTCCCATCTTAGGAAACACCGCTTGTGCCTGTCTATGTCTCGCTAAGATGGTGCTGTTTTGCTGAGATGCCGCCTGTCCTGCGATTCTGTTTCAGAGGCTCTACATCCCCGTCAGCCTGTACCGGACGAGCTTCTGGCTGTTCACCTTGCAGTATGCCTCCATGTACCTGGGCAGTCTGTGCGTCATCGTGTGCCTCTCCTTCTTCCTGCTTAACACCTGGGATTTCATCCCCTCTGTTTATGGATTCATGTGAGTCCCCCCCCCCCCCCCCAGAGATCTGATAACACTGTTTGTTTGTTTTTTTAATGGGTCAGAGTAATAATTTGACATCTGGAGCACTGTTCTTGTAAAACAAAGGTCAAATCACAGATTGCACACACAACTTGTAACTCCTATACAATAAGTTGCTTTGGATAAAAGTGTCAGATAAATGAGTTAAATGTAATGAGTGTATATGTCAGGTCTTTCTGTCTCTGAGGATGTTTGCTGCCCCCCGCTTCCATCCTCCTGGTTCTGACTCTTTAAAAACTCCACATCTTCAGCCTCTCTGTCCCAGACCTCACACCCAACATTGGCCTCTTCTGGTACTTCTTCGCCGAGATGTTCGAGCACTTCCGCCTCTTCTTCATCTGCGTCTTCCAGATCAACGTGTTTTTCTACACCATACCGCTGTCCGTCAAGCTAAAGTGAGTGCCTCTAGCGCCGCCCTAGTGCTGCATATTCTTGGTGTAATAATTACATTTAAAAACAAGTTGAGCAAAGCAAAATATAGCTGTCGCTATATAATTTTTTTTTAGAAGTTATTAAATATTGACAGACCTTATCCAGAAGGTGTTTGGTTTTATTTAGAGTGGACAGTATTGTCTCTCTAATTTTATACAGTTTGCCAATCATTGTGGATGCCACACATTCGTGAGAGTACGAGCTTTTTAACGCACCATAGAGGTAGTTTAATGTTTTCCTTTGTGCTTGTTTCCATTTCTCAGGGAGCATCCCGTCTTTCTCATGTTCATGCAAATCGCCATCATCTCCATATTCAAATCATACCCCACCGTAGGGGACATCAGCCTCTACATGGCCTTCCTGCCCGTCTGGAACCACTTGTATCGATGTGAGTAGCCGGCTCGCCCGCGACTGTATTATTCCTAGTCCCTCAGGGGCTGATGAGCTTCATGGCTTTTATGGCCGCAGCTGCATCTCTGCGTTTATGAAAAAGTAAAATGTGTTCCCTTGCCTCGACTCCTTTGATTCGTTTGTTCAGGAGGTATTTTCTTAAAGGTGAATAAACTATTCAGGAGTATCGAGTGGCTGGTACATTGGCCTCACACCTATAGAGTCGGGGGTACAAATACTGGAGTTTGCATGCCCTCGTTGTGTTTGCATGGGTTTCTTCTGGATATTCTAGTTGCCTCCCATAGTCCAAAAACACAGTTTGGCAAGCATGTGCATTTCTGTGTATGTCAACATGCTCCCCTGCCTTGTGCCCTTGACGTTCTGGGTTGAACTCCAGGCTGACTGACTCTATACTGGACACCCCATAATGAGAAGGATTGCCTAATTAAGTCACACCTATTGCTGATACAGGTATAATAATTAATCCCACAGTCATTCAATCTCCTGCATTACCAGCTGAATGGTTGGTTGTACAGAAGAGGTTACATACTTTTGGCCACAGAGTGTATAAGAAGTAATAAAATATTCTGAATTGCATCAAATGAGTAGTTTTTGAATTAGATGGTTTATTAAACAAGTTCCCTCTCTCCCCAGTCCTAAGGAACATCTTCCTGGTGGCCTGCGTGATGCTTGCCTGTTCTGCTCTGTTCCCTGTCCTGTGGCACCTCTGGATCTATGCTGGAAGCGCCAACTCAAACTTCTACTACGCCATCACTCTGCTCTTCAACGTAGGACAGGTGGGGGAGATAGAGGGCACGGGAAAGGGCGAGGTCACGCCATGCTGTAACAATGGTCAGTGTGGTGTCCCTTCCCATAATGCCGGGCAGAACTAGCTCTGCTCTAAGCATTCCAACAGGATGTTATGCAACAATTGTGGAGGACTCCATAGATGTAGGGTACGTCCACAATTGCAGACTTGTTTGCCATGTAGTAGGCGAAATGTAGTATGCGAAGTCTCCGAATCCTCGGTATGGATGAGACAATAGGTGAAGGGTACCCAGATGACATAATACATTCTGTGAAATTCTCAAGTGTGCAAACGATAGATGCTCTACTATCCCACAAGGCCACTGGGCCTACAAATGGGGATGAACGTTGCTTGCTCAGAAATTTTTGTCAAGATGTCAGAGGAAATTTAAGTAGAAAACAAAACCCAGTTACATAAGCTGACATTTTTCTAATTATTTTTTTGAGTTTTTAATTTTCACAGGAGTCCGTTACGTCATTAGTAAACATCCAAGTCAGATAACATTGAATATGGTGATTACAATATGTCTGAGTGCATACGCGCTGTTCATTCATACATACAGTACGTATTACATTAACATTACTTTGAGTGTGTGATTTCATTGGCACCCACAGCCTTGGTCTGCCTTATGGTATAACAGAAACACTCAAATGATCTGTTTAGAAACAAGTACAAATTCTTGAGTATCAGCAATGTCTAAAAACCAGAAATTAAGCTGTTTGACCTAAATGAGCATGAATACAGTATAAAGTGCTGTATTCATAATGGGGTTCAGCTCTATTTCCTGTGTGTGGAAGGACTTTCAAAACCTTGTTAGTTTTTAATCTATCCCTGAATCCAGTGTAGTAAACTTTAAACGGTTGTGTAAAATGGAAGACTCGAGATGTCTATAATGGCTATGGCAGTGAGGCGTGACACCAACGCACCCCCCCCCCCCCCCTTTTTTTTTTTTTTTTTGTCTGTAAGCAGCTGGTCACTATCGTGAGCGTTTGGATTGGCTGTCGTCAGTCACTGGATACATCCATGTTACACTGACTCGCGTGTGTGAAGATGAGCTTTCATTCATCAGTGGGGGGGGGGGGGGCTGTTACAGGGATATGGTCTAAAGGCTTGTACCAGGGCTCCTGTGTCTGTTGTAAACAACTTAAATTAGGATGAATGTGACTGGCTGTGTCTAAATCAGGGGTCATCAGGATGCCCCCTAGGACCACATGAGTCGCCCACGGACCTGTACTAAAAATAGCACAACTCACCAGTGCGCAGCGTCTAAAATGTAATTTTATGCTGTTGCTATTCTTCTTTAATCACATTTGCGTTTATATAGATTTGAAAATGACAATATCTAAAAAAAAAAAATTAAAAACCATTTAAAACGTTTATTATACATGAAGTTTAGATAAGTTTAGGAAGGTGTTTCAAACTGGTAGCCCTGCATATGGCTCAGTACCCGTGAAGTAGCTCTGAGTTTCACAAAGGTTGGTGACCCCTGGTCTAAATGAATGAATGTTACATTTTATATAGCACTTTTCAGGACACGCAAAGCGTTTTACAGAAGCAACGGGGAGCCACTTCAACCACCATCACTGTGTAGCCCTCACCTGGATGGTGCAACAGCAGTCATTCTGCACCAGTACGGTCACCACACAGTAGCTAAGGTGGTGAAGGGGCTGGAGAGAATTCACCAATTACATATAGGGGATGATTAGTAGGCTTGATTTGATAGGGCCACAGTGAGCAGTTTTAGCCAGGACATCAGGGTACCCCCATCACTGCACTGGGGCATTGGGATCCACACAGACCACAGGATGGGCTCCCCCTGCTGGCCACACCAACACCTTCAGCAGCAACCAGCTTTCCTAGTTGGTTCCTAGTCTGATATTCAAGCACTGGTCAGGCCCAAACCTGCTCAACTTCAGCTGGATTACCTGGTCGGAAGCACAGGTGCTATGGCTGCTGGCTAAAATCCCCAAGCTTTCCTGTCCCACCATCTGGCAGAGTGAGGACCAGGGTTATTGTCTTTATTGAAAAATAAAACTATAAGAAAACCTTTTCATAAACTGAAATAAAATGAAACTTAAAAAAAAAATTAAAAAATAAAAGAGAACCATTAAAAATAACTAAAATGTTTTGCACATTTTGACAACATTAGTACATAATGTGCGCTGTTTTTAAGATTCTCTAATAAAAATCAGGCACATAAAATAGTTATGCAATAAGTCTCAGCATAGAAATAAAATATATGGAAACTAAATAGAAATATCTTTAAACACTAATTCCCAGTAAAACAGCACTGAAAATGAAACTGAAACCAAACTGGATTTCAAATAAAATTTGAAATTTGCTGAGAATTATTAGCTAAAAATGAAAAAATGAAAGCTATAATAAGATTACGGGCTGTCGTCCCTCACAGATCCTGCTGGTGTCAGACTACTTCTACGCCTTTCTGCGGCGGGAGCATCACCTGACGCACGGGCTCTACCTGAAGAGGAAGGACGGCAGCGAGGCCACGCTGGTGCTGAAGTAGGCTGCAGCAACATGGACTGTGACAAGATCTTAGCCGGCTGGGTCCGAGTCCACCTCTGGATTTTCCTTTGTTTTTTTTCCCCTCCTCTCTTTAATTTTGAATTTCATGATGCTCTAAGGACCTGCCCTCACACCAAAACTGCCCCCTCCATTCTAGATCGGACTGCAGGGATCTCAACACCTGTAGTGTAGCTTGATTAACATGCTGCTGCTGCTATCTGTCGGGATGTTTTGTGAGGGCTGGTCTTCCCAGTCTAAGTCTGCATTTTGTGTGTTTGAGTGTGGACTGGTTTTGTTTCCCCATTGCAAAAAAAAAAAAAAGTGTTCTGTGGAATGTTGCTGCAGATCTGGCTTTACCCACTAGATGGCAGCAGGCTAATGTGCTGGTCGAAGGAACTATTATGCAATTATGCGTTTCCCATCGGTGCAATGGGACTAGCAAAGATCCGTTTAGCCTGAATTGTGAACCTCCATTTCTGACCTACAGGTGGTTTCAAGCGTTGGGTAATGAGATCTTTGCTGCCTATAACATTTTTCATTTTTTAATTTTACTAAATCATTGTACACGATTATTATACGTCTTCATAGGTTGTGTGTCTGTCTGTTTGTGTGTGTGTGTGTGTGTGTGTGTGTGTGTGTGTGTGTGTATGTATATATATATAATATCCTATTACTAATGTGGCTGTCACTAATCTCCTTCAAGATGCTGTGCAGAATGGGACTTTTTATAAACACTTTACTGTATGGTATTAAAAAGGGGGGTGGTTGCTTTTCCCTGGTCTATGTTGAGACTTGGTCTCCTGGTTCCCCCCGCCCCCCATTTCACCCATTTGTCCTTCCTCAGGGAGTACAACCAACGAACTGTCTGTAGTACTTCATGGTGTTTAGCTGCCAGGGAGTCCCCCACCCACGAAGCATGACACTACAGATGAGCACTGTGCCCTGACACCGTCTGCTGAGACACGGACGAGTGACGAGTTCTGAGATCGGCAACATTCACTTAGACGTCTCTCATTCTCATTCAGTTTCTTTTTTTTTTTTTTTGCTATTAATTGGTTGGTGGCACTACGTTGACTAAAATACTAAAATTACTTAAGCAGCTGCCGCTGAATGGCCTGGATTGTTCCCCTCGTCAGTCTCCGATGCCCCCCCCCCCCACACGCTATGGGGGCTGTATAAAAGAATGTCACTCGTGAGCCTTTGTTTCGATGTCCCGTGATGCATCACGGCTCGTCCAGGTCTGCGCCCATTCGGCAGCCTGGTGATTGATTTCCTGCAGATTCGCTGTCCTGTCCTGCCGCTCTACTCTTGTTTAGACCACAGCTACACAGAGACGGCTCAGGCTGCCAGAAATATCAGGTACCTGGTGTTGAAAATTTACAGAGAACAATATATAAATAAATTATGCTTGGCAATTGTTATTGCTCTCTTCAGATCACCTGCACCCAACTGTTTTGTAGAAGGAAACATTTAGATACCACAAGATATACACTGTTCACGTAGTAGTGCGTTGTGTTTTTTTTGTATTATTTTTAAATGCCTGGAACAGTGAATATGTATACAGGTGTGTCATTTTATCTTTTAATGAAAAGCAAGTATTGTAAAGCTGGCCTTGTGAAATAATATGTATCTGACAAGACACACCCAGTGTTGACAGCAGTTTCCCTGGATGTAGGATGTAGTCACAGCAAAACTAGTATTTATCAGAGACGCCCCCCCCCCGTTTCCACTCATTAACACGTCATTTTATGCATTTCTTTTTTTTTTATATATATAAAAAAATACACATACACACACACACACACACACACACACACACAGATTTCACTTTATTTTAGCCAGGAAGGGGTGGGCCAGTAAATGGAGATGGTGGAAAAGTCCAAACACTGGGTTTTAACGTTATTTATTAATAAAAAGAAATACAATGCACCCTGTGTGTCAATTTTTTTAGCATTTTATATATAAAAAATTGCAGTTTAATTATGATCACTGAAAAGTCCGGCAGAGGCACAAATCAATGACCGTTGGTTTTAATTTCACACATGAATATTTAATAATAGGTAATACATTAGGAATTTTGTTAATTTTGAATGAAGGATAAATGTCAGTGTTTTCTGACTGGATGCCTTTTAGTCCCTCTTTGCTCCAGCGCTCACGCAAAAAAATACCAGACATTCGGGGGAATTCATCTAACTGTCTGAAGTCGTTTAAAAAGTAATGTTTACTGGCCCAAGCTACCTGGTGGATAGAGAGAGGTGCATTGTGTAGGTGACTATCATTTTCTCCAGTCTGAATGTGATCCGCATATGAATCAGCTTTCAAACTGGCCCTAGGCGGACAAACCTGGCCTTTCTGGGTGGTGAGAAAACTATGAAAGTGGAATTTCAGTGTCACAGGGTTTTCACGCAATCTCGGCCAAGACCACAGAGCTTATAAGAGGATACTGGAGAATATCTATTTGTTTTACAGCATGTTGAAAATGACCAGTGTTTTTACGTAGAGTTTCCTCTGGCGACTAATGAGATGAATTGCTGATGCTAAAATGTCCACGGTGAATTTTAAAAACATATATCTAGTTGTTACGATTACTTGAATAAACTTTATTTTATAAAGGCAATTATTTGAGATTTGCCTTCTCGATTACTCGATAATTTGGAGAATGGTAGATAGAGCATGGTGGATGAGGGTCCACACAAAGAGCGGAAGCGACTTTCAGGTTTGGGGGTGACTATGCAGCCATGGGTAATTATAAGGTATGTGCCCTTCAGCCTCTCGGAGAAGCTTTGTCATTACTATGCTTTAGAGGGGCACTATTATGCTTTTCCAGTTTAGCACTTTCCTTTATATACAGCTCTGGAAAAAATTAAGAGACCACAGCAACATTTTTAGATTCACTCATTTCTCAATATATGGGTATGCTTCTCTGTAAAATATCTTTTTTTTTGTTAACTCCAACCTGGCTCTTCTCTGTTCTTGTCATTGATGAAGGGCTGCTTCCTTGCTTTATGGGACTTCAGTCCTGCTTCTAGGAGCCCATTGTGAACTTATCCTAGCAGTGCACCTCACACCACTTACTGTTTCCCATTCTTTTTGAAGGTCACTTGAGGTCATCCTCCGATTCATGACGCACTGTTGGATAAGTTGACAGTCATCTCTGGCATTAGAAAGTTGCTTTCGGCCTTTACCTGGCTGGTTTTTTGTTGTTCCCAGTGTCTCCTTGCTTTACCTTGTTCTTGTGTACTGCCATCTTAGAGATTTTAAGCCTGGAAGCAATTTGCCACTCAGTGTAACCTTCTGCCAGCAGGACCAGGATTAAACCAGGATTTAACAATGCAGATTCTTAAAAAATATGGAGTGATCTCTTAATTTTGTCCAGAGCTGTAGCTTTATGAGTATGTAAACGGTACACACAAAAGGGAGTTACCACAGAAACTACTCTCCCCAGTCTGCCTGAAATGGAGAATTGGAATTCCAGCCCTTACTTCCGTGACATCGTGAGGTCACCTCGTAACCCAATTCTTAGTGGCCACCTACCTGCAATGATCTGTCTGCAGACTGCAAGATAGGGGCAGAGCGTGTTGGGCAAGCTGACCAATTAGAGCATACTGAGCTCAACATGATTTTACATAATACACAGTATAGTATATAATAACCATTTCATATAATTTTTTAAGAATGTTTTTTGTGTATTGAGTAGGGCTGAACTTTTGGCCTACCAGAACAGACACAAAGCAGTGCTGACAAATCACTTTCTTCTGCTAAAAGTCATCTCTGTGTGGAGTGTGTGTGTGTGTATGTGTGTGTGTGTGTATGTGTGTGTGTGTGTGTGTGTATGTGTGTGTGTGTGTGCATGTGGACTTTGCGTCCTCGCCTGTGTGTGTGTGTGTGTGTGGACTTTGCGTGCTCGTCCTGTGTGTGTGTGTGTGTGTGGACTTTGCGTGCTCGTCCTGTGTGTGTGTGTGTGTGTGTGTGTGGAGTTTGCGTGCTCGTCCTGTGTGTGTGTATGTGTGGAGTTTGCGTGCTCGCCCTGTGTGTGCGTGTGTGTGTATTTGGAGTTTGCGTGCTCGCCCTGTGTGTGCGTGGCTTTTCGGTGGATCCTACGGTTTCCTCCCATTGTCCAAAAACTTGCAACTTACAGTTTTGTACAATTGTTTTCAGACTTGTCTCAATACATTGTCCCCCTTTTCAAAACATGCATCATTTCAGTAGACTATGTGAACTACACTGTATGTATTTTTACATTGCTTTGACATTCTATCACCAAAACTTGATCAGAGGACCTTAGAACACGGCCAGCTGAATCGAGGTGTACCAGGTCCGTTATCCACTGCGGGGTGTGGCCATCTAAGGCTCTGAATGTAAAAGTTTATTCAGTTTTTTTATTTGCAGCTTTGTTGCCATCCATACAAAAACAGTCCTGTTATACCCCTGAGTGTTCAGACGCCCATGACGGAAATGTATGTATTTTTAGATCCTCCAGGTTGTACGATGTGTGACACGGCAGCTTTATGAGAGAGAGAGCATGTGCTATATTATAGTTTACTGCTGGGTGAAATTTGAAGTGATTTGGTGGTTGATGTGCATTTTGCACCAAAGGTTAATTAATGTGCTCAGGTGTGTTCTGTGAAGCACGCTGTGTGATGAGTTTTGATAAAGTGGATATGGTATTGAGACAATTAAGTGTGAAAATAAGTGTAAAGGGGCATTTAAATTGACTGCATGTGGGAGTGAGAGGGAGCTCACCCTGTGATGGCCCGGAACCCCCCGTTTTAAATAAAATATTGTTTATGTTATATATACTCGATTAATCGTCAAATTCATTTGTAGATTACTCAATTATTAATATAATTGATAGTGACAGCCCTAAAATATTATTTTAACTGTAAACTACGGCTATAAAGGGTAAACTCTAAATTATATTCATAATATTTAAAACTGTATGTCAGTTCTACACAAAAATATGAAAAGTTCACTTTGTTCTTGCAAAACAATGAGCAATGTGCTGTATCTTCCAACAAAGCAAGAACCTACTAAGACTACAAAGAGCAGAAGTGCAGCATTAAGAACATTCAGGGAACATACAGTGGCTTCTGGCATTATATCCATTTAAAAAAACCTATATTTTATAGTTTTAATCAGCCATTGGTTATGAACATGTGATGTTCATATTGCCGCAATAAGAAGCTGAACATTGGCCAACTGTATTAGCCAGTGGGTCACATTAAGATCCCAGACATAACCACACCCTGTGAGTCAGAACAGGAAGACGCTCATTTTACATTTCAAGTGAGAAAAAAAATACTTCTGTCATCCCAATTCCGAGAAACATCAGGAATTACAGTAATTAAACTAACTGACACAAGTCATCCGCACTCAGCTAACGTTTCTCGGATTTATTTTATTTTTTTTTTACAGAGTTGTTTCAAAATACCTGTTTTGCACAACATCCCACAGAACCAGGCACGGTAATTCTAAAACAAGTTGTTGAAACACTATATAGGCACGACTATAAGTTATTTTCATGATGCTTCACACTGTGAACTTTCAGTGGCAAAGATGGATGGATGGATGGATGGATGGATGGATAATCATTACTAGTCATGTATATAAATCATACTAGCATGGTTGCTCAACGGTTAGCACCATAGCCTCATAGTTGCAGGACTGTGGGTTAGATTGCTGTCTCAGGCACTGTGTGCATAGACTTTTTGCATTGTTTTGCTGAATGTGCCTTTTGCTGTGTGCATTGTTTTGCTGAATGTGCCTCCTGCAGTCCTATGTTTTAGGTAAATTGGTGTCTCTAAGTTGCCCAAAGTGCTCTGCAATGGACTGGCATTCCATTCATCCATCCTGCCTCGTGCCTTTTACTTCCAGTGATCTGTTCACTGAATGCAGTACACAGATCCCTGCATGGGGCTGAAATGTCAAACTGAGACCTGCCTGGGCCCATGGCATTCTGACCAGTGACCAGACCCAGCCTGGGCCCGAGTACTAACAGATACCAGCGTTAACGACGTGATGCACAGACTCAAACACAAAAACGCACACATACTGTAATACACACACATCTGTGCTTTCTTATGCGCAAATAAGATATTTAACTATCAACAGACTCAAGTGATCTCCAGTCTTTCCTGTTTCCACCTGTTACGGTTGTCCGCCCACAAATCACAACAAATACAAAATAAGATGTGAAGCTACAATGACCCCAGCCTGAAACCAACCGATGCAGGACAAAATCTTCTGACTTGCAGACCTATACCTGTACAGTAGGGAAAATGGAAGGACATTAGCATTACACATTCTGGGTAGCAACATGGTGAGACATCAAAACCCAAAGATTATTGAAAATCACCTAGTTCTGCATTTCATGATGTTTTTGAGCAAAATCGGGACTAAACAAAGAGATGAACACCATGCACATGCTTCCGTTTAGCTGCTGAGAGACTGTTCATCAGCAGGCCTCTGAGTTCACTCTGTCTGCCGCACAACTGTCCCTGTTATTGCCATAGCTCTGGCTGGGAAGGCTTTGCCAGCTGTCGCATTCCCAGAAAGCCAGGCTACGGAAAAACCAGGAAGTGCAGCTGTGCTAAAGCTCATGCAGCGCTAACACCCCGCAGCCGTGCTGTTGGAGATGCGGTGTTCTACTCAGATGCACTGCCCATTTAAGATCACATTATGACCGGTAAAATTCATACAGATTCTGAGATGTTGCTACAGAGCGGCAAGGGACTCACCACAACAATCTAGAGGGGAGTTTAAGTGATGATTTCTGGTACGAGAGATCTCTAGCCTTCAGCCACCATGTAACCAGGTTAATGAAAGAGGGAAAGGTCAGGTCCAGAAAGTACAAATCCAGACCAAGATTTTGTTTCAGCCAGCCAATTGAGTACTCTGTGACTGTGACTCTTTATGTTCAAGTGGTGGGT